CTCATGCAGTTGTTGATGTGCCGGTGTCAACTGTGAGGCATGAGCACGGCCTGCCACGGCGCCCGCCGCCTGCGCCGCGCCCGCGGCGGCGGCAGGGGCGGGCCTGCCCGCGGCAGCCACGTGTGTGTAGCCCAATAGTGACCGGAAGTGGCCGTTCCAATCACCGGCCGTGATGGAGGGGTCCGCGCCCTCCCCCTTGCCCTTGAGCAGCCTGTGGAAGGCAGCCGGGGCATCGAATTCGAGCCGTGCCAGGTCACGACCCCTCTTGCGCTTCACCTGGCGCTTGTGCCGCCGGGCGGCGGCACACATCTGGCGGTTGAGTGCAACAGCCAGGGTGAAGTCACGACGGCTCAGGGCCCGCCGTCTCCTCCGGCGGAGACGGGAAGTGAGCGGGTCCTTGCATGCCTGTCGCTGCCAGCCTGGCGATCGGGCAGGGCCCGCCTGCCGGACTGGCATACCAGCGGTATCTAGGGAGCTGGTCACTACCCCATCAAAGCTCATGCATGCTGCAGTGAGCTGCTCGATGGAGGTGGCGGCAGCGGCGGCGGTCGCCGCTGCCTCAAGTGCGGGTCTCGCCCCCCGCAGTGCATCCACAAATGCCGGGAGCAGCGAGGGGACAAAGCGGTACTCCGGACCGCACGGGTTCGGCCCCAGCCCCTCGGCGGGGCAGGGCCCTGCACCCGCAGCCTGGGAATCACCCGCTAGCTGCAGGCGCAGGGTGGCGTGGTCGAATCGATCTGTTGGGGGCTGCACTAGTCTGCCAGTCTGCCGGTGCTATGGGTAGAGGCTCCGCCTGTCTGCTTGTTTGTTACTCAAGTATTAATGTTCTCACAAAACCTCCCCTGCCCTCTGCTGCAGAGGAGCCCGAGGTGAAGGTACGGCTGACGGGCACCGGAACGCGCTCAGCAGGCCGCCTGGAGGTGTTCAAGGCTTGCATTTGGGCTGCCATCAGTGCACACGGCGTCACCGACAAGTCTGCTGTAGCGGCGCTGGTCTGCTCGCAACTGGGATACCAACGGTTCACTACTGACAGCTTCAGCTCCTTCCACAGTAGAGAACAAAACGTCCAGTGGGACTCCCTGAGCTGCAATGGCAGCGAGACATCCGTTCTGGACTGCGAGTATGGCAGCTGGACCGCCGAAGAGGCAGAACTGGGCATCGCCTGCTTCAGCGCCTCAGGTACCCTGCCATAGTCTCCCTGAGAACCACTGCCTTCTGGAGCCACACTGTCTACCTGCTTCAGGCAGGGGCCTCACACCAACCCTCTGCACATGCTTTCACTGTGTGCCCCCTGCAGAGACTCCCAATCTGGGCACAGCTGTGCGCCTCGTCGACAACTCAAGCTCCCCCCTGCTCAGCCGCGGCCATGTCGAGGTGCTGAGCTGGGGCCAGTGGTATCCTGTCTGTGCCGAACGTTTTGGCCCTCGGGCCGCTGCTGTGGTGTGCCGCCAGAAGGGTTTCGTCGGCGGCGTGGCCACCGTGGAGCCAGAGGACAGCTACGGCAGCATTCCAGATGGTGCTTCCCCTGCCATGTTGAACAGCGATTGGAACTGCGCTCCGGACACCAACTCGCTGCATGAATGTGGCTTGTACTGGCCCAACTGGCCCGAGCCCTGGTCATGCCCGCTGGCAGCCGTTACCTGCTCCAACTCCACAGGCGCGTGGTAGCAATGTGATGCACGCCGGATTCTGCATGAGCATCGGCGCAGACGACATGAAGCGTTCCTCCTTGCCTCTGCTGCAGCCGAGCCAACCGAGCTGGTGCGGCTGGCGGGTGCCAATCGAACGGCTGCTGGCCGCCTGGAGGTCTTCCGCTCTGGCATCTGGACTGCCGTTCGCGCCAACTCCATCAGCAACATCACTGCCGTGGCCGAGGTTGTGTGCGCACAGTTTGGCTATCCTCAGAGCATTGTGGACACCACAAACTCCTTTGCCAACCCCAGCATCAACGTGGAGTGGGATTCTGTGAGCTGCAACGGCTGGGAGAATTCCCTCCTGGACTGCTCCTTTGGAGATTGGGCCACCGGTGGCGACGAGTTGGCCATCTCCCGCGCCAATGCCTCCCGTGAGTCCAGCCAGAGCCGTGCAGGATGCACACCCCTCTCTTTCACTGAGCTTTATGTTGCGCGAGATGCTGTCGACCTACCCGTTTTGCTGCTGCTGCCTCATGCAAGTATTCTCAGCCCACCAAACTGCCATTCCCTCCCCATGCAGATGTTCCTAACCTGGAGGCTGCCGTGTTCCTGCTCAACGGCACGGATGCAGTGCCCAACCAGGGGCGCGTGGAGGTGTTGCGCAGCGGTGTGCCAACCCCTGTATGTGCCAGCAACTTCGGGCCTCGTGCAGCTGCGGTGGTGTGCCGCCAGCTGGGCTTTGTTGGGGGCGTGGCCACCGTGGAGCCGCCCAACACCTTTGGCACTCTGCCACAGGGCATGCCCGAGGCTGTATATGTGCGCTGGGGCGACTCCTCGTGCAGCGAATTCAGCAACTCACTGCCAGAGTGCGTCATGTACCCAACCCCCGATAGCTGCGCTATGGCCGCCGTCACCTGCTCCAACTCCACAGGTGAGACATTGATCCGCACATTCGTGCAGCCATGCGGATATGCCACCACCGCCTCAATGCAGCTTTCACCTGGGCAGGAAGATTTGGTGCCCACCTTGCACACACCCCCCAGTCTTAGTGGTGCCCTGCTGTGGCTCCATCCCACCTTGCAGTGGTTCCCTCCAAGCCTGTGCGCCTGACAGGCACCCCCATCCCATCAACCGGCCGCCTGGAGGTGTTCCGCTCCGGCATTTGGACTGCCGTGCGCTCCAACTCCATCGCAAACATCACTGCGGTGGCGGACGTGGTCTGCTCCGAGCTGGGCTACACACAGAGCCTCACCGACCAGTTCAACACCTTTGCCGACCCGACAGTAAATGTCGAGTGGGAGTCGCTAAGCTGCAGTGGCACTGAGGCGTCTGTGCTGGGCTGCTCCTACGGCGGCTGGACGGCTGGCGGCGACGAGCTGGGGCTGGCCTGCTTCAACAGCACAGGTAGGCAGCACTGCGCAAGGCCCCAGGCAGCTGCATGGTTGGCTGATCGAGCTTCTTCTTCCTGGGGTTGGATCAATGTGCTGACAGAGCCCCCAGGCCAACTCACTCCATGCCACCCTGCAGAGACACCCCGCCTGAGCAGCGCGGTGCGGCTGGTCAACGGAACTGACGGTGCACCCCACCTGGGCCGTGTCGAGGTGCTCTACCACGGCGCGTGGACGCCTGTCTGTGCTGAGAATTTTGGGCCACAGTCAGCGGCCGTGGTGTGCAAGCAGCTTGGGTTCATCGGGGATCCTGCCATCCAGCTGCCACCAGACACACTTGGCGGCATGCCCAGCGGAACGGAGCTGTTTATGGTGATCAGCTACTGGAACAACCACTACTGTGGAGCGGACAAGAACTCTCTGCACGAGTGTGGGCTGCAAGCCAGCACATACGGCTCCTGTGCCAATGCTGCGGTTTCCTGCTCCAGCTCCACAGGTAAGCCTGCCACGCCTCCTGCATCATCCCTGCTGCTGCCCCTGCAGGCATTGTCTGTGGCTTCTCCTGATCTCACCACACCATCATCCTCCATCAGCGCATCACTCATCTCACCTGCTGCCTGACCCGTGCAGACGTGCCCAATGTTTCTCTTCGCTTGTCCGGCAGCAGCGGCCGGCAAGATGCCGGTCGCCTGGAGGTGTTCACATCTGGGGCCTGGACGGCGGTGCGCGCTGGCGCCAACGAACCTCTGGTGGTGGTTGATGTGGCCTGCAGCCAGCTCAGCTACAGCCGTGGCCTGTTTTATCAGCCCGGCACCTTCTTCAAATCTGACCAAACTGTGCTGCTTGATTCCGTCAGCTGCACTGGGAGCGAAACCTCCCTCCGTGACTGCAATCTTGGTGGCTGGTCTGCCTTTGGCGGCGAGCTGTCGGCGCAATGCTACAGTGGCATAGGTTAGTAGCTGCTGTCTGTCTGTCTGTCCGTCTGTCTGCTACACCCATAAGGAGCAAGTGAATGCTACAAGCCAGCTGTGGCGCAGCAGCTGGAAAAGGGGGTGAAGGCACCACGCACAACCGCTGCCCACGCCCCCATGTGCTGTACATCAACTGTTTGTGCAATTCTGCTGACTGAAAATTCATTCAGCACACAGACCGGCCGCCTCTTGCTCGAGGGCGGCCCACTTTGGCCTGGGCAGCCCGGGCCGCCCTCCCCCCCGGGCGCATGTTCGGTGTTGGAGGGGTGTGCCCAGCGATAGGGGGCCCCTGAAGGCATGCGCCGAGGCCGGGAAGCGTGGTTCGGCGCTGCTGCACGCTTGGCGATTTGAACAGAACCACGTGCCGCCGAGCTGCGGCCGCAGTTTCCGGCCCACGGTCTACGGTCGCAGCCACGGGACTCGGCGGCACGGCGTTTGGGCCCAAGGCTTGCTGCCGCTGCCGCCGCCGCAGGGGTGCTGCCTGCGGCGGCGGCGGTAGCGCACGTGGCAACCCCCCGCGTTTCCTTGCCTCCCATCCACCGGACCCCGTCCTGCGCTTCACTTTGTTTAGGGAGGGGCTGCTCACTGCTCATTGCTCATTGCTCATCGCACACTGCTCAACGCTCATTGCCCTATATCCCACCCAGCCGCAGGACTCCACTGCCGCCCGCGCCCCGCCCCATCTGGCCGCTTGCGCGCCCCATCCCCCCTCGATGGGGCCCGCCCACACCGGGGCCTCCCCCCTCCCGCCCACTGCTTTCTCAACGGCCCCGAGCCGGGGCTGCCCTCATTGCATACATAGTGCGCCTTTCCCTGCTTTTCTAGTGACCTAGCGTTCCGCACTGCCGTTTGGCCAGCCCATGCTCCCGTACCGTTGCGTTTCTCCCCAATGCGCCATGCCACTTTGCCAGTCATACACACGTTTCGATGCGTGCCCTGTCAGCTGCTTGCGTTGCATGTCGCCTTGCTCCACCCCTGTTTTATTGCTTTCTCTGCTTTCGCCCGGTTCCCGTCCCGTTTCGGCGGGGAGTCTATGTTGCAAGCTAGTTCTTGCTTTACCAGACTTTAAGCCCACACAAGCAACTGCTCACCCTGCCATACTATCTCATCTGCAGACCCCGCTGTGGAGCGCTTTGATAGCCCCCAAGCCAACAGCCTGCCGCTGGACTGGTGCATCTCCCCGGGCTGCGGCTACTCAGCTGCCCTCTTCTTCTGCCAGCAGCATGGCTACTCTGCGGTTGCACGGTATGCTGGCTTCACCCAAGTACCAGAGACCTACCAGCTTGACACAGGCAACATATGCTCCCCAGGCTGGGCTGGATGCGGCACCTTTGGATTCATCGAGTGCGCAGGTTTGCCTGTCCCTCCGCCCACAATGGCTGGTAGCATCCAGTCCTCCTACCAGCCTGCATGTCTCGCCACCCGCCTGCCTGCCCAGCCCATCGCTCTCCCTGTGCCACTCCGCACACTGCTGCAGACTCCCGCCTGCGACTGGATGCCGCTGTGCGCCTGAAGGATGGCAACAGCATCAACGAGGGCCGCGTAGAGGTGTTGCACGCTGGCCAGTGGTGGCCTCTGTGTGCTGATCGGTTTGGCCCGCGAGCAGCCGCCATTGTGTGCCGCCAGGTGGGCTGGATTGGCGGCCCTGCCACCCTGCGGGATGCCGACACCTTTGGTGGCTCCTCTCCCACTGTGGCCTGGCTCAACTACTACGATGATTCGTATGGCGAGGATTTGAGCGCCCTTCACGAAGCCCAAGGTGGCAATGGGCTGGCCTTTGGCGAGAGCACCTGCTCCGCGGGCATGTCTGCCGTCACCTGCTCCGACGTCACCGGTGAGCCCTCCACATATTGGGCTTGCATCCTGCTGAACATTGTTTGCCAGCTACTGTGGTGTAGCCACAGCAAACATTGAAGGCTCCCTGCTCCTGCACACTGCCGCAGATGTGCCGTCCGCACGGGTGCGGCTGACCGGCAGCGATCGCCTATCCGCCGGCCGGCTGGAGGTCTACCGCTCCGGCATCTGGGCCTCTGTGCATGCTTACTCCGTGCCAAACGTGCCCGCCGTGGCAGCCACAGTCTGCTCCCAGCTGGGCTACACCCACAGCATGACCGAGTCCTTCAGCACCTTCCACAACCCGTCCACCAACGCCCAGCTCAACACGTTCTCCTGCGCCAACTCAGCACCCTCTGTGCTGGGCTGCACCTCCAACGGCTGGAATGCGTATGGCCCAGAGCTGGCCATCGCCTGCCACAATGACATAGGTGGGTAGTGGCCGGCTAATGATGCCGAAATGTGACGCATGCTGCATTGCTCAGCTTTGTTTCAGCCTCCTGGCTGTTGCAAGGGCCTTGCAAGCCTAGAAACTCCCCACTCCCCTTGCAGCCAACCCAAGCGCCGAGTGGGCAGGTGCGGTGCGCCTGGTCGGTGGTGTCAACAATGCATCCAACCAGGGCCGCGTGGAGGTGCTGCACCATGGCGTGTTCCTCCCCGTCTGTGCCAGCCAGTTCTTCGATGAGGTGGCGGCAGGCATCGTGTGCCGCCAGCTCGGGTTTGTTGGAGGTCCGCCGACGCTGGAAGCCCCCGATGCATTTGCGCGTTCTGATGCTGTGGGGAGGTACGGCATGGTCAGTTACTGCGAAGGCTTTGAGGCCACCCTGTCCAGCTGTGCCGGTGCTTCTCCCAGCTTTGACGGCCAGTGCGACAGCTTTGCAGCCATGACTTGCTCCAGCCAGACAGGTAGGCCGGGGTGGGGCCGAAGTCCCACCTGACATGACTGCTCTGCTCCATTGGACTGCCAGCCATGACTGCTCATCTGCCAAGAGCTCGCGTTGTCGTTTGGTTAAAGCAGAGGTGTGTGTTCTTCTTCCCTGCAGCTGAGCCTGCGGTCACCGTCATGCTGACTGGCACAGAGCGGGCATCGGAGGGCCGCCTCCTGGTCTACCGCAAGGGCCTGTGGCGCCCTGTTGCATACTCCAACAACGTCCCAGCCCTTGCAGCCGTGGCCTGCAAGCAGCTAGGCTTCCCCACCTCGGCTGGCTCCGCACTCACGGCGTATGCTCCACCGCAGCCCAACGGCTTATGTTGGGTGAACTGCGTTGGCACCGAGGACAGTGTGGGGGGCTGCGACTGGAGTGCGCGCAACCCTGAGATCTCAGCCCGAGAGGGCTGGATGAATGAGGTGGAGGTGGCATGTGCTCCTCAGGGAGGTGAGTAGACACAGTACCCGTTTCCCCTTTGGCAACTCACTTGCTGGTAGGATCAGGCTGCGTGGGGCCCCTTGAACCTGTTGGCCTGGGGTCAACTGTCTGTCTGTCTGTTGTTGGGGTCAACTTGACAATGGCACGTTTGCAACCCACCCTCTCTACTGCAGGTGACCCGCGATTCTCGTCAGCCGTCCGGCTGGTGGGTGGCAGCAGCGCCAGCCAGGGCCGCGTGGAGGTGCTCCGCTACGGCACCTTTGAGCCGCTGTGCGGCGAGGCATTTGGCGTGCGCGCAGCCACTGTGGTTTGCCGCCAGCTGGGATACATCTCTGACTTCGCTGTTGTGGAGCCGACGGACTCGTTTGGCAGCACCCCAGCTGGCACCAGTGAAGCACTCTACATTTACAACAGCGATGGCGGATGCAGCCCTGGTGCAAGCTCGATGTATGAATGCGGACTGGGGGTCACCAGCCCCTCTTGCGCCATGGCCTCCCTCACCTGCCTGGGCTCCAAAGGTGAGCCTGCATCAGGTGGATACGTACACCCATCTTGTCAAGTCTGTGATATGGCTGCCCTGCCTGTGTGTTGACAGGGATGTGGCCTGCCTGTCGTTACATTACACCATCCTATACAGACTGAATTTTGCATGTGTTTTTTGCTGTTCCCCAGATGAGCCAGCCGTTCCCTTCCGCCTGACGGGCAGCGACCGCTCATCCGCTGGTCGGCTGGAGGTTTACCGCAATGATGCTTGGGGCGCTGTTCACTACAACTCTGTCCCAGACGTGCCAGCTCTGGTCACCGTCGTGTGCAGGCAACTTGGCTTCGACCAGGGCATGAGCGGCCAGATCAACGTGTTTAAAAGTCCCAGCAGCTTGCAGTGGGATGGCCTCAGCTGTAGCGGCAGCGAGGCTTCTGTTGCTGACTGTACAACCAGCGGCTGGACATCCAATGGTGACGAGATCAGCATCGCCTGCTACAAGAGCGACAATGGTGAGGCATTTGTTGCAAGCGGGCTCTGCTGCGTGATGCCTGATTGCTGACGGTCTGCCACCTTTGCAGCGCTGCCCCTGCGTGTACCTCAACACTCATCATTGTCCCCTCACACTCGCCAGCATCCCCACCCCCTCCGTGCAGCCAACCCCAGCGAGCAGTGGTCCTCATCGATCCGCCTGGTGGGCGGTGCCAGCGATGCACAGGGCCGCGTGGAGGTGCTGTATCGCGGCGAGTGGGCCCCGGTGGGCGCAAACGAGTTTGGCCTGTTTGCTGCCACCGTGGTGTGCCGCCAGCTTGGCTACCTGGGCGGCTTTGCCACTGTGGAGCCCCCAGACTCGTTTGGGCCCGTGTCTGCTGACGGCTCCGGCTCCCTCGTCCTCAGCTCTTGGTGGTCCAACTGCAACGTTGGCTCTCGCAGCCTCCAGGAGTGCGGCCTGCGCTGGGCTCGGGACTACTGGCCCATCCAGCAGGCCTCCGCTGTCACCTGCATGCCTCCTCGTGGTAAGGGAGACATTTTGAGTCCTCTTCTGCCTGCTGGTTTCTGTCCTTGCTTTGCCATGCTTGAGAACGGCTGCTAAATGCATGTACTTATGCCCTTGCAGTTGCCCCGTCGCCTCCAGTGCGGCTGACTGGCGGCTCAGCCACTGATGGAAGGCTGGAGGTGCTCTACAACGGCGCGTGGGCCTCTGTTCGGACCAGCAACATTCCCAATGTCGCTGCCGTGGCTGATTTGGCGTGCGCCCACCTCGGGTACCCGCTCAGTCTTACCGACCAGTTCAGCACTTATGCCGACCCCACTGTCAACGTGGAGTGGGACTCTCTCAGCTGCAGTGGCTCCGAGTCGTCTTTGCTGGACTGCTTGTTCGGCAGCTGGACCACTGGCGGGCCAGAGCTGGCCATCGCCTGCGGCGACGCCAACAATCTCCCCAGATTCTCTTCTGCCGTACGCCTGGTAGACGGTACCAGCGGCAGCAACGGTCGCGTGGAGGTGCTGCAGCACGGCATATACACGCCCCTCTGTGCCGACTACGTTGGCCCTTGCACCGCAACCACCGTGTGCTGCCAGCTGGGTTACACTGGAGATCCTGCCAGCGTGCAACGCCCAGACACATTTGGCCCTCTGCCCAGCGGCGCCGCCCAGTCGCTCGGCCTGGCCTCTTGGTCCCAGTGCGGCAGCAGCCTGCACTCGCTCCAGGAGGCCACGCTGACCAGCACAGGCACCACCTGCTCCACGGCCGCCATCACCTGCTCCAACTCCAGGCCGCGCTACTACCAAGGCTTTGGGGTCTGCCAGGAGCAGTGGGGCATCGTTGGAGGCAACTTGCCCAACATGCCGCTGGCAGCCGTCAGCCTGCAGGAATGCCTCGCTGCATGCCATGAAAACGAGGGTTGCGAGCTGATGGAGTATCAGTACAGCGGCGACTGTTGGCTCAAGAGCGCGGCAGGAGGCGACGGCTATACAGGGTATAACCCCAGCCTGATGCTTTCCTGCCAGAAAGGCGAGTGGAGGCTGTGGAATTTGCAGGGGACGGGGGTGGCCAAAAAGTGAATTTTGTTTCCCATGAATCGGACTGCTGTGCCGCATGCTTGCTTACCTTCCACACCGCTCTGCCTGCCTGCAGCTTCCTGTCCCGCCATTGCCGACTTCAAGTTCTACTCCGCCAAGGATGGCGGCTTCAGCAGCTCGCAGGTCGCTGGAGAGAGCGTCGCCGGCCTGGCCCAACTGTGCGCTGCCGACCCAGCCTGCAAGGCCTTCACCACCAGCGGGCAGCTCAAGAGTGTGCTGTCGCGCCCCTCCACCTGGGGACTGTCAGCTGAGACCGGTGACTGCGACGGCATGTATGTGAAGGTCGGATTTGTGTATGACGGTGAGGCGCGCTAGGTTCCTGCTGCCTGCTGCTCTGCCCTGCACCCGTTGTGGCCCTTGGTTTGTGTCTGCTGTTGCACGGCTGCACAATCAGAAGGACGAGCCCGTTAACCCACCTCCTGCATGCCCCGATGCGCAACAATGAGACGATTTGCAGGATTCGTGGACTGCAAGCCGCAGTGGGACCTGGTTGGCGGCGACCTGCCGGGCGTGCCGTTGGCTGATCTCACCATGGAAGAGTGCTTGGCCCGCTGCCGGGACAATGCCGATTGTGAACAGATTGTTTATGGCGTAGGCGCCTCTGGCCTGGATTGCTATCTCAAGAGCATCTCGGGCAACGATGGCAACACCGGACCGGATGCATCTGTCATCGCCTCCTGCGTCAAAGGTGCGCTGCAGTGCGGTGTCGCTTTGTGCGCAGAAATGCTTACAGCTGCCCTGCCACGTGACTCACACAAGCCGTGGACACGTGCTGCAGACGTGCCTGACTGCACCTCAGAGCTCAACAATGAGTACTGCCTCACATGTGGCACTACCAACAGCTGGCGCTTGACCTGCCTCAGCACCGGCACGCCCTGCAGGGCCACCTTCACTGCGGTGAGGGCAGCGGCCTGGCCCAGGGTGCTTTTGCTGTTTGTTTATACAGTCTGCATATCCACAGAGGGACATGCGACACAGCCCACCTACCCACCCACCCACCGGAACAGAGAATTCGTAGCTTGTTTCTTGTGTGGAGAAGTGTACAGTCTGCTCCACTTAGCTCCGATCACAGCTGTGCTCATGAATCATTGACCACATCTATTGCTTCTGATTTCGACTCTGCCCACCCGTGTGTTTGCAGGGGGATGGGTCGATGTACAGCCCCATCATTGGCATGTGCTCTGTGCCTGAGCTTGCGCCTCAGGGCGCCGCGGCTGGCGGCACGTGCCCAGCCTACATCACCACCGGCGGCATGCGGTACAATCTGCGGACCAGTCAGACAGTGGCGCCAGCAGACATCATTGATTACTGCATCTCAAGTGAGATTTTTGCATTGCAGTACGGAGCTGTGGACGTCTGCCGCACATGACCGCACCTCTCACGCTGCATATACGGCATGCAGGCGACTGTTTGGTTGGCTCTGTGGAAGGGAACGTGGCGGGCAATGTGGTACTGTACAGTGCCTCAGATGGTTCAACTGCCCTGGCAGCTGGGCAGTACCAGGTATGTCGCGCGAATGCCGATGCCACCTTGGCATCCAACCTGTCCTCCTGTGGCCTGAAGTTTGGGAGCGGCAGACACTATTGCATCTGTTCACTTGGCTGCAGGCGCGATACATGGATGGCTGCTTTGAAATGGCCCAGACTGATGGGTGGGGCCTGGGAGATGGAGGGTCACTCGGCTGGTACATCACAGACGCTGATCGACGGGGCCTCTCAGGTATCGTCTGCCCATGAGATTTTGCAGCTTGGCTGCATGCACGCCTCCCGGCCGGCATGCTGTGAGACAGTCACACCCATGAGTTTGCAGGCCTTCTTGCGAGCAGTCCCAGCTACTTTGAAGAACTGAGCTTCCAGGGCTGCCTCGCAAACGCAAGGCAGATCAACATGAACCCGCTGGTGTTCGACCACCCCGGTGAGCATAGCCACAGCAGGTGTCGCTCAATTGGCAGAGCGACATGCTGATAAAGCATGCCTTTTGATCACTATCAGGAGAAGATCACCATCAGGAGATACTGAGGCTGACCCCCGAGCAATGTTGGTGGTCCATGTGGTGCAGGTGGTACGGCTGGGCTGTACCTTAACGACTCATACTACTCGGATAACTCACCAGGTGTGTGCGTGTTCATCAAGCTGCTTGCGCTTGGCACAGCTGACGCAAGCAACGCTGGGGCTGGGCGTACGCTGCGGGTGCAGCATTTGGTAGCGTCCACAGTGGCGCTTCAGCTGGAACATCCACATTTTCAATGCTGCAGGCTCACCAAGCCCAGTGTTCCAGCTGGAACGCACGCAGAACTGCTCCAGTGAGTGCATGTGGGCGGCCGTTGATAATCTAGGTGTCGATGTACCGCCATTGTTCACTGTCCTTGAGCACATGCATGCTGCCATGTGTTCCCTGCTGCAGTTCCCGCCTGCACCCAAGTGACCACCAACACATACTGCGTGCACTGTGCATCCAACAGCGACCGCCTGACGTGCGTGGCGCCAGGGGGCACAGTCTGCGCGGCGGCATGGCAGGGCAGGAGCGTCACGCTGCAGCTGTGCGACACGCTGTCGCCCGGCAGCGGCGCAGCAGACGCCTCCTGCTACAACTCAGTCTCCGACCTCTCTGAGATTGGCGGCACCGACAGGACGCTCGCCTACCTGGCCACACGCGACCGCGTCCCCACCGATCGGGACCCTGTCTGTCCTTAGGCCCCTGTTTTTTGGGCCTCTGCTTTTTACGCCACTTTGGATCTGCTGTGTTGGTAAAGAGGCAGCAGATCCATGCCTCACTACGGCTTCAGTAGTTCACCAAGCCAAGAACCCCAAGCCCCACACAAGTTATGCTGCATGTTTCTTCGCTAGTACGTTGAGCCAACGACCTGATACCCGCCCCTTGTGACCGTGCTGCTGTCTATTTGCATGAATACTGCGGCTTTCTAATGTAGCTCTTGCGTATGTGTGACACTTTTTCAGGCCTCTTGCAACATACCATCCAACACATGAGCAAGGTTCAGCAGCAGCACTTTCAGCCGCTCTGCCCTGCCGGGCTGTCGGCCTTGCTGCCAGATGGCTGGGCTTCTGCATCGGCAGAAGGGTTGTCTGGTGCCGCGAACAGATTTTTCAGCGCCCGCTCTCGCTGCCAGCTCTCCTGCTTCCTGCAGAGTTCAGCAGCATGGGATGCACTCAGCAGATCAGTTCATTACTGCATGTTGGCAGCGGGGGCCTGGGCTTCTTCTGCAGACATGATGCACTCCAGCACCGTGGCGGCGGCACTCCACACACAACAGCCCAGCATCGCTTCTCACGTGAAATGGATTGGCCCCGCTCCCTCCTCCTCCTCCTGTCCCTGCTTCTCCTCGGCCAACGCCCAGGTGCTGGGCGTGCGGCTCAGCCGCTCCTGCATCTGCGGCTCCAGCCGCTGCTGCAGCTGCTGCGCCACCTCCTCGGCGTGCTGCTTCTCCTCCTCGTCCTGATGCTGCTGCTGCTGCTCGGGAAGCGACTGCCGACCGTCAGAGACCTCGCTCCCGTCGGCGCCTGAGCTGCTGGCCGCCGCTTGATCTGCCGCTTGCTGCTGCAGCTCCTGCGGCTGCTGCGGCTGCTTGCCGCCATCTGGTCTCCCTGCTGCCAGTGCTGCTGCTGCTGCTGTGGCGCCGGCGCCCACTGCAGCTTCCGCAGGCGTGCCGCCATCGCTCCCCTGCTGGCTGGCAGCTGGCGGCGCCGGCGGCGTGGTTGCAACGCCAGACGTGGGCGTGGCATAGCCGCTCGATGACTCTGCTACTGTGGCCAACAATGGCGGTGCACCATCTGCACGCAGCACAGGCAGGGCCGCCGCCGACCGTGCAGGCTGCTGCTGCTGCTGCTGCTGCCTCCGTAGCGCTTCGCTGAGCGCGGCGCCAGCAGCAGCACCAAAGGAGCCATGGGGCGAGGTGGCGTTGTGGCTGGCCGCCATTTGCGTCATGTACCTGCGTCCGCCATGGCAGCCCCAAACCCGCGGCGCCCAGTCAGCGGCATACCTTCTGAATTCAGGCCTCACAGCTGAGAAAAGGTTTAGCCGGCCACCCCGACATCATGCATCTAGATCTATGAAGTCCTTCCGCAGCCCCGCCTGCCCACACACCTGCTCAGGTCCATGGGCAGCACGGTGTAGTCGTTGCGCTCCTCGTTCTCATCGACCCTGCACAAGCCGAGGGCAGCGGCGAGCACAGGGAGGTGCTGTGAACAACGACTGTGTGATGCGTGGGGGCCAGGGGGAAGCTCTGGTGCCATCCGTGGAAACCCGCCTGGCGCCATCTTTGGATCTCGGGAGAGTGCATGCCGCAGCTCTTAGCCAGCTGGGTGGCAGCGCCAGCAGGGCAGCGGCAGCGCCCACCTGAAGCGGTCGGGGCCCGGCAGCGTGGGGTGCAGCGCCTGCGCGTGAGGCAGCGAGTCGCCAGCGTCTGTGGTGTTGAGCGCATAGCTGCAGCAGGAGAGGGTGAGGGCAGGGTGTTCAACACCAGCAAGTGAAAATGCATCACCCACACTGGCAGGGATCCATCATCTCTGGGACCCACCTACCCAGCCACCCACACATTGAAGCCACCAACCCCAGTCTGCCACAGCGGGCTGCACCACGGGGCTGCCAGCACCATTGCCGATCAAGCAAGCGCTGCTGCTTGGCGGGGCGGCCGCAGCAGCGCTGGTGCAGCAGGGCTCACTTGAGGGTCTGCACCTCCGGGAACAGCACAAAGGGCGGGGACTGCCCCTCCTCCACATCAACCTGGTGCTGGTTGGCGGCTGCAGGCAGGCAGGCGGGCAGGCAAACAGGCAGGGAGTGCGATGGATGGCAGCAACGTGGCACCAAGGATGGGAGGCTTTGCGCGGGAGGCTGAAACATGCATGGAAAAATCAATCTGCTGTGAACAAGAGTGGTAAAAAGAGAAGGACGACGGCAACGCTCCGCCCATGCCTCTAAGCTATGCCTGCGGCAGGGAGGCCTGACCGCACACCAGCATTTCCCTCCAGCCCGCACCTGCCAGCTGGCGAGCAAACTCGGTGGGGAGCGCAGAGCGGCGAGGCGCGGGCCCAAAGTTGAGCGGGATGGTGTCGCCCTCGTTGCCGGCAGTGGCAGCATACCTGCAACGCAGCAGCAAGCAGCCCCTTGCTGTCAGGCGGGAGGCCCAGATATAACACAGATACAACACAGACGCAGCCACCGCTGACCGCCAGCCGGGCCCGGGGATGTGTGCGCAAGCTGCAGGCCGTCGCACGCGCAGTGTTGCAGCTGCACAGCCAGCCAGCCAGCCAGCCAGCCAAAGCGCGCGCCTGCTGAGGTCTATGGGAAGCACGGTGTAGTCGTTACGTTCCTCCTCGACTGTAGGCTTGTAGGCAGGCTGCGCTGCTGCTGCTGCGGCAGGTGCCCCCAGCCGCCCCATGGGCACCCTCGGGGGCAGGCCCCCCGCCGGCGGCTGGCCGCCCCCACCGCTGCTGCGCCGGGCAGCTGCTGCTGCCTGCAGAAGAGCAGGCCACAGGGAACACCGAGAAACACTGAACATTCAAGCGGTTGCACAAGGTTCCTCATTGCTCCCAGAAGCCAACTCCTACACCCTCTGCTGGCTGCCGCCGCCCGGGCCCAGCCACACCCTGCCCGCCCTCACCTCTATCACGCCTGTGCTGCTCTGCCTGAACATGTGGCGGCGCGTCTCGACAGACCGCAGCGCCCCGTGAGACTCTGGGGCAATGGAGGGCAGCCCTGCACCGGCACACGCCATCGCCGTGCCCACACAGACGTTGGCTCCGCGTCAACCGACACAAGCACCTCTGCTGCCACCGGCACCGCCAGGGTGGCAACGCAGGCAGTGGGAGCAGCAGGAGGCTGGCGAGGCAGGGGAGCGGCAAGACACGGCAGCCCCTGCCACTCCCTTCCGGCCGGCCCGCCGCACACGCACGTGCATACACAGCGGCCAGGTTGGGCTGGCTGGGCACAGGCGCCAGGCCGATGTCTTCCCGGGCCATCATCTCATCCCGCAGGTCCTCCACCGGCTGTATGTCGTGGAAGTGAGCCCAGCGCACCCGCGGCTTGCGGTCCCTGCAGCCCAGCCAGGGAGAGACAAGGAAGTGGCGGCAGGCATGTGTGAGGGATGGCCCGCTGCCGGACTGCGCAGGCCGCGGCAGCAGCAAAGCATGCCACGCCCTGGCCGCCCGCAGCCGCCCTCGACCCTGCCCCCAGCTGGCTGCCACGCTGGCGGCAGGCACGCGCCTGGACTCTGCGGGGTGCTTGACGATGTTTTGGAAGTGGTAGCCGTAGCGCACGTGGTTGTGCACGGTGTAGGTGCGCTGGCGCAGCCGGTTCTGGCCGTTGACGTGAAGGTACGCGTTGATCTGTGTGGGAGGGGACAGGGACGCGGGTTTGCAGTGGCACGGGAAAGATGAACCGTGGGATTGAGAGGTGGGGAATGGAGGAAGAGAGGTGTTGAGGGTGGGCAGGGTGGGAAAGACGGAGAAGGGTTGTGTGTCAGCCCGGCTGGCAGGCTGCAACTGGCGGCGGCGCTCACCACCACCACGATCTCCGAGTCAGCATCCTCTATCAGGCCTCCAGGCTTCAGCCAGCCCGCAATGGGCGAGTCTGCGGGGCACAGAGCGGAGCAGAGTCGCAACAGTTCGCTCAGCCACCAAGAAGGCTACCGAAGAGGCAAGCGAGTCGACTGGCGGGGAGTGGCGGCAGCACTGCGCCCTGGGCAGGCCTCCCTCCTGGGCCCCCAGCCCTGGCGCGTGCGCTGGCGCGGCATTGGTGGCCCCGCACCTTCTGTGATGGGGTGGCACACCTCGATGGGCAGGCGCAGGTACAGCCTGTCCTCGCCCGTCTCGTACCCGCACTGCGGCAGGGAAAAGAAAGCAAGCGCGGCGTCATCAAGAAAGCAAGCGCATCGGGAGCCATGGCGGCACAGCCTGCACTCAGACGGGCCGCACCTAGCACGCCAGCATGCATGCACGCAAGGGTGCACAACAGCACCAGCCACGCCAGCACGCCAGCACGCGAGCCAGCCAGCAGGCCACGCCAACCAGAGGGACTGACCTCCAGGTGGAACTGCTGGAAGGCGGGGTGGCCGTCGGTGGGCTGGTGCCAGCGGTACAGGTACATGCGCACCGTGATCTCCAGCATCTGGTTGGGGTACGTGTCGGCAACCCTGCGGCAAACGCAGACAGCCCAGGGAGCGCGAGGAGGCAGGTTGGGTGGGCTCACCGCCAGATGCAGCAGGGCCTGGTTGCACGGCCCACGGCCACAGAAAGGCGCCCCAGCAAGACGCTGGCACAGCAGCTGCGATGCGAATGCAGGGCTGCGCATCTCCCCGCTGCGGATCAGGTTGCCGCAAGCGGTTGCGGCAACTCGCCTGCACATGAGGCAGGGCCGGCCGTCCTCGTTGGGCCCCACACACAGCAGGTCCGACAGTACCAGCGTGTTTTCTCCCAGCAGAGGGTAGGGCACTGCGGTGCGGCGGGTGGGTGGGAGCAGAGTGGGGTTCAGATGAGAGGGCAGCAAGGCACGCGTCAGCCAGAAAGCTCCCAGCGTGGCACCACAGCGCACAGCAGGAAGAGGCATCAGTGAAGTGGCACCACGTCTGACGCGTCCCAGCACGCTCGCCTGTGCGCTTGGCGCGGTTCACCACCAGCTGCGACAGCTGGCTGGGCGGCAGCAGCGGCAGGCCGTCCTGCGGCAGCACGTCGTGGAACCTGCGGCGGCGAGGGCCATAGAGCCCAGGGCAGCGAGGTCGAAACGTGGGCGGAGCAGCGGCAGAGGGGTGCGGCGCCTCATGCTGGCAAGCCAGCGCAGGTCCCGCTGCGGCCGCCCAGCTCCATATCTATGTGGGATACAGGCCCCTCCCTCCCTCCTCTCTCACGCACGCGCGCACACACACACACACATGCACACATGCCAGGTCGCTCGTAGAGCCTCGCCCACACGAGCCCCTTCTGCCCGCCCCGGCCCGCCCCACCCCCGCGTGGAGGTGCAGGAGCAGCAGCGGGGCCTCACTTGTTGAGGTCAATGAAGTAGCGGCTCTCCTCCCCCTCCGGCTTCATGATGATCTCCGCAAACCGGTGGCCCCAGTGCACCTCGGTGGGCAGGTAGGAGCGGCGCGCCATGAAGGGGTTGCCAAACTGCAGGGGCGGGGGCGGGGGCGGGCAGGGGGTGGGAGCGAGGCGGGAGCGTTCGTGCGGGGCGCTGGCGTTGGCGGGGACGGGGGCGAGGCGGGTGAGGTGTGCAGGTCGGGGCGTGGCGGAGACAGGTTAGCAGGCAGGGCCTAGCTGCCGAGAGCGGTGCAGATGCAGATGAAGACGCCCACAGCGCAACGCGCGGCGGGCAGCCGTGCTGGAGCAACCGCAGGTTGCCGCTCGCGCCGAGGCCAGCGCCTGCCACGCCCACCTCTGTGGTCCCTTCAAACGTCACCACCACCTCCGAGTTGAGCGCCATGAGCGAGTCGTGTGTGTGGCCGCACAGCGGCGACCGCTCGTCGATGGTGTGCTCGATGATCAGCGGCAGCAGCAGCATGCCGTCGATGTAGCCAAGGTCCAGAGGCTCGCACCGCACTGCAGGCAGGCGGGGAGGGAGGGAGGGAGGGGGCCGTGGGCGCGCTTGCGTGCGTGTGGGCGGGCGGGTGGGAGCGGGGTGCTGCTGGTGTTGGGAGCAGTGAGGGAGGCGAGCAGGCACCCGGAGCCACACAGGTCTGGCTGGGTGCGCTGAGCAGAGCGGAGCGGCCCGATGACCAGCTGGCAGCGGCAGATGAGCACACGCAGGATAACGCGCGTGAGCTCACCAGGAATCTTCTCCCCCTCAGCAGTCACGCGCCCATCGCCTGCAGCCGCCACACACAGCACAGCGGCAGCACTGGTCAGCTGGGGAGGCGCGGCGCCGCAGGGGAGCCGCGCAGCCTGCAGCACAAGTGGCCCAAAGAAGCAAGCCGAGGGCAGGCAGCACCAGCCCCATGTAAGCCGGGCCCTCGGCTCTTGCCAGCAAGGCGGCTCGTCAGCTCGGCTGCACGGTGCGCACCCCATGTGTACATAAAAGCCTTGATCTTGGGATCCACCACCTGCAGGGAGGGGGAAGAGGGAGCCCGTGGCAGGGTCGAACCACAACGGGGGGGAAGCAGGCAAGACGACCAGAGGGCAGGGCACAGCGCGCATCAACGCGGCCAGGACCAGCGCCCAGCAGCCCGTCCCAGCCAGGGGGCAGGGCCTCTGCCTGCTCTCCCCAGCCGACTTTGCTGCGCCCCTCGCCAGCCGCCGCACCTGCGTGCGCCGGATGTCCGCCACACGGAACATAAACTTGAGGATTCCGTCCCGGCGGGCAATGATGGCGGAGTCGGAGATGAAGATGGAGCGGGAGCGCTGCTTGGGGTGGGAGATGCGGCTGCAAAAGAGGAGCCACGGGCTTGTGGGGCGGACGCAAGGGTGACGGTGGGGTGCACGCATGGCAGCGCCGCGGCGCTCCTGGGCATGCAGGCACAGGCGCAGCGTGGGCTCGACCTCCTGGCAGCAGGGCCGCGGGGCGGCGCGGGGCGATGCTGCATGCAGCTTGTGCACAACGTCTGCAGAGTGTGTTCAGGGCCCTAGCACTCACGCAAATACGATGCCAATGACAATCGCCTCTAGCATCAGAGCGAAGATGATCTGCACCGCAATCAGCCACGCAGCAGCCCAGCACGACTGCGGCCCTGTGTTGCCGTAGCCTGCAGGCGGGGGCACAGGTGCGGGCCGCACGATGGTCTATACAGTGTGCGGGTTGGGCGTGGGGCTGCCGGTCTGCTGACAGCGCTGACAGCCCGAGGCGTGCAGCCATGCACAACGAAAGCACATGCTGCACAGATAGCCAGCTGCACGTAAGCCATGCAAGGCCATGGCGCCAGACGCTATCTTTGCTCTCACCAATGGTCATGTGAGTGACCACAGAAAACACAAAGGCTTCCACGTACGTGGTGGCGCCATATAGGCAGCCCGGGTAGAACCTTCAGGCAGGGGACACACGCGCATGGCAGCAATCGGCCGGGGAAACCGACAATGGCCCAGCCTGACCGGGTGCGACGTCGCAAGCTGTTTGCATCAACAACTCTGCCACCTGTGTCACATGTTGGCACTCACGAGGGCCCACCTGACGATGAGATACCACCAGATGGAGAAGAAGAGGAAGGCAAAGAGGTACACCGCGGAGACAGCCAGCGCGATGGTGGTGGTCTTCTGGTTGATGGCAGTGATGAAGAAGTCTGTGGGGAGGAACACATACAGAAGGGGAGGCAGCCGCAGGGTTTGACGAACATCCGCGGCAGCAGCCCGTGCATGTCGGCAGCCACGGCAGCAGCAGCAGCAACGGTGCCGCTGCTGGGCTCACCCTTGGTGAACAGGTGGTAGGTGATGTTGCGGCCGGCATACTCGACCCGCGATCGCCCCGCATGCCTGCACACAGTGCATTCGCTTTGGCGGGGTGTGGTGTTGCCCACCCACATGTCCACCACGACCGGGCAGCTGCCGGGCAGTTCAAGTTGCTGAGGCCGCCGGGCACCGCCACTGAAAGCCCCTGCCATCGCCCCGCACCTGCCCGCATCCACTAGCGACGCCAGGTGCTGGCGCTGGCGTTCGTGCTGATAGAAAGATCTGCCGCGGTCGGGAGCCACATTGAGGTCCTTGAAGAAGCGTCCCACCTCGCCTGTGAGGCTCTTGTGCCTGCAGGCACCCGGGAGTGGCGGCAGCACGGTTGGGCGGCAGGCGAGTCGGCGACGGGCCTGCCCTGGCCGCCGGACAGTTCTCCGCCCCCAGGGCTTGCGGAAATGGGTATGATGTCTCGTGGCCGCCATGTATTGCTCCTCCGAGCTCCCCAGGCACAGCCCTAAGGCGAAGCGACATCGCCGGGTTTGCAGGAGAGGCGCGGCGCGCACCTCTCCGGTGTTGACATCCCCCCTGCTCCATCCTCTAGGGATGTGCCAGGCAGGGGTTGCGAGGTAGAGGGCCTCTGTCGCAGGCCCCCAACCACTCCGCTCATACTGGCGGGCCAGGGCCACCGCCAGCAGCAGGATCACGCGACGATCGCTGGGGCTTGCAACGATGATGAGCAATAGACAACCGCCAGGCTGGATCCACGCGGAACACGGACACAGCTGCACTGCAGCCTGCAGCGATCCGTGTTACGCTGCTGATCAAAGAAGTATGGCGGCGGTCGGCGCCAGCGGCCCCGCTGCAGCAGGCGAGTGAACTCTGCCGTGCAGGCTCTGGGTTGCCCGTGGCGCCTGCTTGACGCATATGCCTCCCTGGGAAGTGATCTGACGCTGCCGCCGAGGCGCTGTGGCCGCGAACGTCCTGCCCCCGCTGTGCAGGCGGCGTCGTCACGGCGGCGGCAGAGCAGGCAGCCATAGAGGCGGCCAACGGCGGCACCGTGGGCCTATACTTTGTGCGGGCGAGTGCCTCCCGTTGCCTGAGTTGGCTTGTTGCAATGATGCTTGTTGCGCTGGCAAACCGCCGGCACTGCTCCCTGCACCGCTCCCCCCACACATACTGACCCAGTCGCTCCACTGCCTTACCCTGCCCCCCGTCTGCTGCAGGAGCACGTGCAGCAGGCGCTGCCGGCGGTGCTGCAGGCGCGCAGCGGGCTGCAGCAGACGGCGGCGGCGGCGGCCGACGCCACGTATGCAGCCAACCACAGCCGGGAGTTTGCGGGCACACTACGCACCGCGCTGCCAGCCTCGCTGCTCCGGTTAGAGGCGGGGCTGCGAGATGCGTCGTGGACGGCGGGCGAGGTGACGCGCCGGCACAAGGAGCGGCATGGCGGCGGCGGCGGCAGCCTGCTGGGCAGCTTTGTGCCGACGCGGCTACGAGGCCTGTGGCCTGGCGGCAGCAGCGAGACCAGCGGCAGCGAAGGCATGTATAGCTGAGCTGAGCTTGGGAGGTGCATGTGTAACAGTAGGCAGTGCTGACAGGAGATGGAGCAGAAGAGGAGCGTTTCAATGCGGATCATGTCATCTGTTCCGTGGGCCTGGTGGCCACAATGCGAGTGGCCAGGGCCAGGGCCGCCCAGGGTCGCCAGCGTGGCCGACAGCATCACATCGCCAACAAGCCATCAAGCAGCGAAAGGCCGCCGCGGCTCAGGTCTTAGGGTCTTCCAGAAAGCGGTAATAGGCGTAGCCTGCACGCCATGGGCCACAAAGCAGGTGGCATCGCACACAGAGACAGCAATGTGGGGGCAGGCCTAGCGCACATCCCAACTTCCCAGGGCCCCTGAGGTCCCCCACTGAAAACACAGGGCCCGCACCAAGCCTGGCAACCGCACCTCCATCCTCGCCCTCCTTGACCTTCTTGCAGCAGAAGAAGCCCATCATGTGAGACAGGCGGTGCTGCAGGGCAGGGGGTGCCAGCGCAGCAGAGGGAAGCCATGCTTCAGCAGCCAGTGCTGCTGATTGCAGCAACAGTGCGGCACAGAGCAGGGCAAGCATGCCTGCCAGGCGGCCAAGGGGGGTGCATGCAGGACTTGTTGGCGCTGCTGAGCATGCTGTGCTGCTGCTGACCTGGAACTTGCCGACCATGGCCTTGTCCTCCCACCCACCAAACGCCTTGTGCAGGGTGTTGAAGTGCAGCAGCTGCACATCCTTGTAGGGAGCCAGCAGCTCACGCAGCTGCGCATCCGTCTGGCCCTGCGGGATGCGCACCACCTGGAAGGAGGAAGGCAAGGGGAAACAAGGCATGGACGCAAGGTCAGGTGGGCGGGCAGGCAGCCAAGTATGGGCGGAGGGCCTTAGTCACACAGCAGGCGCCAAGGAGGAAAGGCAGAAAAGATGGGGTGCACCACGAGCGGTCCCAACCACAGCATTGACGCAATTCTGTGGTTGGCTTGGAGGCTGCCAGCCACACAGCACCCCGTGTCCCTCACCGTCTTGCCGCCCTCTTTCAGCTCCTCCACCTTGGTGGCATCGGTGGCGGGCGAGATAACAACCTTGCTGTCCTGCAGCAGGCAGCGAGAAACCAGCCTGGCATCACTACATGCCTCGACCTGTGCATCTGTGTCGCAAGTCGCATAGCGGTCCAGACCCGGCTGCACAGCAAAATGAGCGCGCCAGCAGCCGTGCTGCCCCGCTTACCTTGAGCGCCTGCGGCGTGCGCTCGTTTTGGAGAAAGGAGTACTCGCGAAAGGGAATAGGCGGGGGGGTGCCAATGTCGTCGTCGAAATTGAAGGGCTCTGCAGGTGCAGCATGGGGTGAGGTGGGTGCGGTGCATGTGGCGGTGTGCAGGTGGACGGAGTGTCTATGTGTTGGCGACTGGTGCATCTACTCGCTGAGCAAGAGCAATGGGTGCGGGGGACGGTGCGGCAAGAGCAAGCGGCCTGCGTGTGGGACAGGGTGTGGATAGCTCCCTGGCAGCTGCCGCCCTCACCGAGGACGTGATCCATGGGTGCCACAAAGGGCAGCCGCATCTTGAAAGCTCCCGGCACCTGGCAGAACTCCAGCGGGCCCCAGTACTTGTCGCACCAGGCCAGCAGCTGCATGGGAGGGCGAGCCTCAACCGGGACAGGAGATGCAAGCGTTCAGCCATAAAACAGGAGGATTGCCTGCAACGCCAGCAGCACAATGCAGCGCGGGAGCATTGCGCCTGCAGGTGGATGCTGACAGCACTGCACACGATGGCAACTGTGCATGCAGTAGCCGAGGCTGCACAGCTTGCCCGTGCTAGCGCCAAGCCAGCGGCCTGCCCTTGCCTTGGGCATGATGATGGTTCGGTTGAGCGCCATCGCCAGCTTGAAGGCGGTCTTGAGCTGCAGCAGCTGCTCCCGCATGTTTTTGAGGTGTAGATCTGCCATGGCGTCGTTGGTCCAATCAGTCTTGAACCGCACGCCCTCCATCATGACCTGCAGGAGCGAGGCAAGAACGAGGGGGACAAGGGAGCAATCAGGAAGCAGGTGAAGCGCAACACTTGAGAAGATCAGGGAGGCTGGCAAACAACGAGGGCAAGGCGGGGCAGGGTGCACAGCTGGCACAGGGTGGAGGGGGGGTCCACAGCGGGATGGCAAGAAGGAAGCACCAGGCACGGTGGCTGATCAGAGGCCCAGGAGCAACAATGTCCACAGCAAACCCCAAGCCCCGACCTTGTCCTGCTCCTGGAAACCGTCTGGGGTTGCCGGGTAGGCGAGGTCAACAGATAGGAAAAGGCCCTCTGCAAGATAAAGATGAGGAGGAGGTGTAAGGCGCAAGGGGAAGGCTCCTCAGGCAAACATGGGTTGGGTTGAAAAGAAGAGCGCACATCCCTGTGCAGCGGACCCAGCCCGCCCCATACAACCGTGTTGCAATCCCGGGAAGGACACGCAATGCCCTGCCTCCTGGCCTGAACCTCCCATGCCCCCCAGCCACACCTGAGTAATATTCTGGTGGGTCATACCACAGCATGGCCTCACGCAGGCGATGGCGCTTGCCCTTGGTACCGCCGTACTGCACTCATGCACGTTACGCCTTGAGCACCTGGCTCGCCACACGTCGCCCACCGAGAAGCAAGAGCAGGCGCAGCAGCGCCACAAGCGGCAGCAGCAGCAGCAGCAGGGTGAGGCAATAGGGCGAGCAGACAACTGGGCTGCGTCACCCCATTGTTCCAAGCACCTCCCCACCTGGAAAGTAGTGTGCACCACGTACGGCTTCACCTCCTGGAACTCAAACAGGCGCTGCACAAAGAAGGTGTGGCCGCTGGCAAACTGTGCGATGGGCAGCACCCCAAACACCAGGGAGTGGTTGGCGCCCAGCACCTGCGGGCGCAAAGGCCGGGTAGCGATGCAGTGTGCACAAGTTGCAGCGACAGTGGTGGGCACAAGCTGCAGCCACGCTGCACGCACGTGCAGGCAGCCTGCAGTGAGGCCCGTGTTGCCAGCTGCCAGCGCCAGCGAGGCGCGGCACGGCATGGCAGCGCTGCAGCAGGCGCCATACACCGGGCTCACCAGATGGTCGTTGTTGGGCAGCGTTTGGAAGGGCACCAGGCCCACGTGGGCCACCTGGTTGAACACATTCTGGTCCCAGGCCTGCAGCGGGTCCCACGCAAGCTCACGCCGCAATGGGTGGAAGTGCTGGCGCATGCACGCGCGTGGCTGCACGCATGCCGGCATGGCGCGCAAGAGAGAGGGAGCACGCCACACCAGGCAGCGCGGCAGTGCGCCGTCCACCAAAGCAGAGCAGGGGAGGAGCCAGAAGCGCCGGCCGGGTGCCCTGCGTCCGCCCACACCAAGAGGCCCACCCTACCTTGGAGTCGGAGTCCAGCTGCTTCTGCCAGGCATCGATGAAGCGGCTGGTGTTCTTGGAGTGGCGGAAGAAGAGCAGGCCTGCATACAGGGGTGGGCAGCCCCCCACAGGATGACAAACCAGTGGAGCAGCGCTGGCGGGCAACCCCCAAGGCTGCCGGCATGCCGGCATCCCGCCCGCCGGATCCATCGCCCAGGGTGCTTTCTCGCTCCATCCCAGTCCAGCCCAGCGCGGCCCAGCCCAGCCCATCCAGCCCCACCTATGTTCATGGCAGAGTGAATGGCTTCCACCGCCTCCAGGTTGTCGTCTCCCTTGGGGTTGGAGGGGGTGAGGCCGTCGGAGGAGGCCAGGATGTCGGCCTCGGGGAAGCGCTCAAAGTACTCGGTGGGGTCTGCGGTGCAGGGAGGTGGGGCAGGGGCAGTACAGGGGAGGCAGTACGGCGCGGCATGAAGGTGACGGCGTGGCATGTGCGCACATATGTACGTCTGTACGCAGGCGCCGGGAAGGGAGGTGGTAGGCAGCATGCCGGACAGCAGCAAACCGCAGCGCCCGGTCCTCAGCCAGCCCCGGACGCGGCAAAGTGGCGTGGGCAGCAGGGCAGCGGGAGGAGGGCGCACCGTTGATCCACACTGTGTCCACATCACACAGGCACAGGTCCAGGCCGTACTCATTGAAAGTGCGGGCAAGATCCACCTGCATGTGCGAATGGGGCAGCAGGGGCCGGCGGAAGCCAAATTGAAACAAGCCGGCGCACGGCCGCAGCAGGCGACGGGGTGGCCTGCTGCGTCCACCCAATGCGAGAAAGATGGGTGCTGCAAACTCAACTACCATCCGCCACCACCGCCGCCATCCAACCACACACACCCACACACATCCCGCACTGCCACCAACCCCACACCACCGAGCCGCGCACCTTCTGGCGCCCCATCTTGTGGAAGGTGGGGCTGCCCCATCCAAAGTCGCCCGTGCCCAGCCCCGTGTCCTCCTTCCCCGCGGTCTCATCATACATGGCAAACACGTTGAGGCCCTGCGCCGCCAGAGCCTGCACGTGGCAAGGGGCAGCTGGGGGGGCACATCAACATGCAGGGTGGCTGGAGGGCCAGGGGCAACCCTGGGGAGGTGCCGAGGCTGCGAGTGAGCTGCTGCCACAGCGGAGGGAGAGCGCCATGGAAGGCACCCATTTCCTGCCCACCACCTGCCCCACACGCGCACTCTGGGCCTTGTTGCCGACTCCAGCCGGCCTGCCCCCCAGCCCATTAGTCACTGATCGCTCAGCAGCCCCTGGACCCACCTGGCCTGTATCCACATCCATGGCCCCCACCAGATAGTTCTTGATGCCGTGGCGCTGCATGTGCTCCACCTGAAGGGCGGGGCAGGCGGCCGCAATAGCACGGGTTTGGCAAGGCGGCGCGCCAGGGGGCCACACATACCCATGCCACCACCAGCACCATCGCCGCCCTACCCATTGCAGCACACACACCAGCAACACCGACACCAACACAACACACACACACACACACACAGCCCAGGCATGCACCTAACCCCCCTGCAGCGCACCCAGTTGAGCACAAAGTCGAAGAAGTGGTAGTTGGCCCAGGTGACGATGATGATCCCGTCCCGCGCGTGGCTGCGCGCCAGGTCGCGGCTCAGCAGCGGCACCTTAAGCTTCCCGCCTCCCTTGGCCCCGTCAGCCTTATCAGTGCCGGCCTTTCCACTGCCGGTGGAGGCCTTGCTGCCTCCAGTGGACACAGCGCTGTTGCTGCTGCCGCCGCTGCTGCTGCCGCTGCCACTGCTGGCGTCGTCGAGCATGAGCCCCGCCTGCTGCAGCCGAGCGGCAAAGTCTTTTGCGTTGCTGGCGGCCTTGGCCAGCTGGAACAGCTCGTCCGCTGTGCCTTGGTCCTCAACAAGGATGCGCCCAGTGTGCGAGGGCAGCGGCATCTGCGGCACGCAAGGGGGAGACCTGGGTGCCGCGGGGCGGGGCAAGAGCGGCATGCCCGATCAAGCAAGTAAGCCTGTCATCCCTCTTCCTCAGCCACTGAAGAACATCTCACCCCTCGATTGAGCAGCGACACTAGCACCACGAAGCCCAGGGCAAAGGTGGCGAACAGGGCGGTGCGTTGCCCGCCGCGGCGAGCCGGCCGCGCTACCGCCATCCCCTACTGGCGACCCCCGGTGAGGCGCTACTGCGCGGGCGTCTAACAACTGGGCCTGGGCATCGGCGCGGGGGACGAGGGCCTGCTGAGGTCCTCAGCGAGCGGCACAGACCATGCACCACTGTTCCGGCAGCCGATGGGGTCCGTGCAATCCGCTTGTGGTGGGGTGGATCTGTTGCCAGAGCGAAGCAGCGCCGAAGCGGGCAACTTTGCTGCCGTGCTGAGCCCGTGCTGTGGGAAGCCCCGCCACGCCACATAACGCAACCTCTACCAACCCAGCTGCCCGAATTATTCGGCCGCGCCCTCGCACGCCATGGACAGCATACTGAAGGTGTTGGGGTTCAAAAGCGGTCGCTCCTCCACAGTCTCAGAGGCGGAAGGTGAGCCCGCCGGCCTGCCCCTGAGCGGAAGGGCAGCCTGGTGCCTGAGGAGGAGGCCTGCCCGGGTTTCGCCCGAATGCCCAGTTACGACTCTGACTCTAGGTGCCTGAGCCCCTCCCGGCCGCTCCTGCTGCAGTGCAAACCCAGGCGCACGCTGTGAGGGTCGCCTCGCTAGAAGGGCTGCAGGGTGCCGCCGTGGCGGTGGTCGCTTCGTCAACCGTGGTGCTGGGCGCCTGCAAGCTCTTCCCCCGCTTCAACCGCAGCCTGAGCGTCAGTGGCAAGACAGCACTGATCGTGAGTCGCTGCGCTGCCACTTATGGGTGCTGCTGGCTGCCTGCCCGCTGCTGCCTTCTGCCCGCGCTGTGGCCCCGTTCCCGCTCGCCGCTCACCGCTCCGCCCCACGCCGCGGCCCTCTCCATAGGTCTCGCCAGCCTTTGCCTCATTCTTCCTGCTTGCGGAACTCAAGATGAACGAATTTAAGAAAATGAAGCAGCAGGCAATGTGGCAGGCACGCAGTTGAGCTGCGTGGCCTGCCGCAGAGCCGCGGCTGTGCGGCGTCCAGCATGCAGCACCGCGCCCATGATAGCATCAAGAAAAAATCATGCCACTTCCATGTTCTCTCTCTGTTTCGCTTCTGTTGGTGCTACGCCTTTGCAGTTTTGTTTCCTTCTCTCGCTCTTCCTCCTGCGCTCCTGACAGCGGTTGCCGCAGTTGGGCGGCCACTGCCCTGCTCCGGCTGGCTGTGCCATGACTGCTTTGCACATGCCTGACTGATCCAAGCAGCTGCTGTAATAACGTGTTCACGCAGGCGGTCTGGGTCCTGGGTTGCACAGCAGGCCTGGTCTGCTCATTGACTGCACCCAGCTGCTCCTCGGCTGCAGGCAATCTGAATCGGCAATTAGGAGCACGCTAGTTAGACATCTAGGTAGAACAAGCACACCAACTCCCACCAGCAGCGTGCATTAGATTACGCAGGCCTGCATCTTAGTTTTAGGCTGTCAGCACAGTTTGCAGCAGTACAGCGGCACAATGGGCAGTACCACCTTCCCCATGCACCGCATCCACCGAGTCGCAGCAGCCTCTTTCGCAATCTGGTGCGTCTCTGTGTCTGGCCGATATGCTTGTGTGCTGTCTCGCACCGCTGCTTCGTTGCTAATGGGCAAGTCACGGCTTGTTCCCAGTGGCTGATTTCCTGCGGTTTTGGGGCCGCCTGCATCGTAGGAGCCTGGTCAGCCTGGCCGTGCATCTGGCCAGCCTGGCTCTGTGGAGGGGGTACAGCAAGACGCTGCGCCCCACCGAGCGTCGCCAGTGGTGCAACAAGATCGCGTGTGGGCTGCATGTGAGCGCGCGTGGGGCACCCTGTCCCTGAACCGTGGTGGGGCGCCGAGGAGATCCGTGCCGTTTGCTGCCTGTTCAACTGTGGGCCTTGCCCCACGGCCTGCCTCAATTGTAGGCGGCCGTGCTGGCCTACAACCAAGCCTGGAACTTGTTTGATCCAGTGCTGAATGCCGACCCGCTGCATGGCGTCACAGGTGAAGCGTGCTGCTGGTCCTGCTGCTGCTGCTGCTGCTGGGCGCCCCCGGCGGCAGTGCATCATCTAGGCTGCAGCGAACAGCCAAGCTGCGGCTGCACCGCCAGGCGGCTTCCTGCGTTCCCAATCGAATCCACTCTCACCCTGCGCACCCTCTCTGGGCCCTCCTCCTGTCCTCCTCCAGACGGCCACTTCTACTGGGGCTCTGTGCTGCTGGGCTACCTGGCGTACGACACCGCGTACTCGCTGCTCTTCTTCAGCCTGCGCAGTGGGGCCGTCATGCTGGCGCACCACCTGGTGGGCATCGCGGGCTGCGCCATAGGTGCGTCGGGCAGGGCGGGGCGCCACGATCGGTCCTGGCAGCGCACCGTGCAAGGGGAGAACTGCCTTCCTCTCGGGCCTCAGTGGGGCAGGGGAGGAGGTGGCGGCAGGGAGGAGGTGGCGGCAAGCAGCAGTGGCAAGCTCAGGATTCCCCGCATGCAGGCGTGTACTGCAACAAGCTGGCGCTGTTTGGCATGGCCATAGAAGTGTTCTTCGAGTCCTGCAACCCTCTGCTTCATGTGAGTCGACGCCGGAATGACAGCACAGAAGTGATTGAAATGAATTGATTGAAAAGAGCAGCCCCTTTTCAAATACCGTAGCTCTGCTGACATGTGGCCCCTGAACCACCTTGTGACGCTCACATCCTGCAGTTGCTGGGCTGCATGCGCATCGCCGGCAGGGCCCACGGCCCTACCTATGCCGCTGTCAGCAAGATTTTCATTGCGCAATTCTTCCTGTTCAGGTCAGCCGCAGCTTGTGCCCAGCCATGGCCTGGGGCAAGCCAAGTGCCATATGCTCGCGGCATGCCGCCGCCATGCAGTTGCTGCACCAGGTGCATTGCCACAACAACTGCATGTTTTGTCCCGCAGGGTCCTGATCAGCAACCTGTGCTTCCTCAAGCTGCTGGGCATCGTGCTGCGGCTGCAGCAGCAGCCGTGGTGGGCGTGGGCGGGTAAGCGCTGGCTGCTGCGGACTTCCGAACGGCCCCCAAAAACAGAAACTGCTGCAGGCTCAGCTTGGGCCAGCCCAGCATCTGCTGCTGTGGCTGCTTCGCTGAGGCTGGCTGGCTGGCTGCTCCCTCCCTTGCAGGTGTGGCCGTGTTTGGCCTGCTCAACCTGCTCAACGCCTTCTGGCTGGTCAAGCTGGTGCACATGACGCGCGAGAAGCCGCAGCAGCGGCAGCAGCAGCAGCTGTGCAGCAATGGCGGCAGCACAGCCAAGGCACCTCTGCCGCAGGCAGCGGCAGGCACCAAGTGCGCGGGGCAGGCTGCCGCGCCGCGCCACCCTGTGGCGCTCACCGCATACGGCGGCAGCCGGCCTGCCAAGACCGACTAAGAGCGAGACCGACTCCCAGCGCTGCACTCCTCCCCTCAACTCAATCGCCTAGACCGACACCTCTCGAGCACCGTGTGCCTTCAACTGACATTTTTTGTAGCGACACATCCCCGCTCATTTTGGCTGCGCATGACTTGGAACTACATCAGATACTGTGATACTTGCCAACTGGACTTTGTCAATGCTGATGAATGAAATGCGATGATACAGAAAGCCCTCAATCCAGCTTGTGGCAGCGCGCCGCACCCACCACCGCCGTGGCGCAGCTGGCCAGGCAGGGCTGCTGCGCCGCCGGGTCCTCGCTCAGGGGTGGCGGGCGCTTGCCAAACACCATCTGCAGGGAGGGGGCACGCAGCGGATGGTGGCGTTCCTGGGGGAGGCATCTGCGGTCCATCGTGCCCTCTGGCAATCACTCCAGCTGGGAAACAAAGCTGAAGGCATTGTCTGCCTCACCTCGCAGCTCAGGTCCTCGAAATTGGGCGTCATGGTCAGTGGCATGCCCAGCTGCTCGGTGAAGAAAGCTTGTGTGGGGCTCTTGCAGAGGTTGATGCACATGCCGGTGCAGCCGCTCTCCGCTAGATAGCGGCACCGCTCTATCTTCACCGCGCTCATCTGCTGCTGCCCATCCACCTCAGTCACGGCTGTCTGCATGGGGCCCACCTGCAAGGCGGCGGCACGAGGGGGTGCCACAGGGATGGGGCTGCCCTTGCTTGAGACACAGCCGCACACACTGCACCTGCGTCGGCACAGGCCGAGCTGGAGAACGCCTGCCGCCGCACCAGCCAGGTGAAGAACGCGGGAGTGATCTTGGCATTCAGCTCTGCACAGAGGGAGCCATAAAAGTGTCTGCCAATAGTTGTCCTGTGGCAGGGCCACATGCCCGGACCTGCTGCAGCCTCACCTGCGCCCCACTTGCTATAAGGGAACACCCGCCGAAACCACTCAGGCACCTGCGCAGCAGCAGTGGGGGCCGCTTCAGGCCCTCAGCAAATTGCCGTTGCAACCATAAGCAGCAAATGTGTGCAGCGTTACCACTCGATTATCGTTTTGTTGCTGTACAAATGATCCAAGGCTGCACACCTCGGGGAAGCCCTGGATGACAGCTTCACGCTGCTCCGCGGCACTGCGCCCTTTCATCATCGACCGGCTGACCTCGACCATGCCTCTGAACGTCTCCCCCCCGTCTGTCCAGCTGCGCTCCGACTGCCAGCCAGCTATGTTGCCATATGCGATGCGGCACAGCGCGATGAAGGCAATGTCAGTCCAGGAGTCTTTGTAGACAACGGGTGGCTGGCCGCCGAGCGGCACCGGCGGCGGCGGGTCTTGTGCGGCTGACTGCGCCACCAGGGCGCGCCACCTGCAATGCCTGTGTGAGCTGCTGCGATCGCGGGGCGCTGCCGGTGCGAAGCAGAGCCGGCGAGGAGCGGCGCCCACATGTGTGCCAGTGCAATACGTCAAGTGAGGCCCCATCTGCTTGGCAACGCATCCGCAAATTTGTCACATGAATATTTGATGCATTTTGGGCGGGTTGAACGGTGGCTGACATGGCCCGCCCGCCATGCGGCGCCATGCGGCACATGGCGCTTTTCAGCAAAGGAGGACTTGGATCGTTGGATGTCTTGATCGTCTGTATAATCACTGCCGTAGATAGTTGGGATCACATGGATAAATTCCCTGCCGCTCCCCTGCCAAATGCGGTAGGCACCCCAGGTGGCGCAGCCCCAGGTGCGGTAGGTACCCCAGGCAGCGGCTGCCGACCGAAGTGGGGCCTAGTGGCATACTGCCCGCTTCTCCTGCAATTTAGTGCCGCCAAACTTAGTGCCGCCAACTTAGTGCCGCCTCTGCATGTTCGTTGCAGCCTATTCATCAACACATCAAATTTCGGCGGGCTGACTGACGACGGGAGAGAGCAATGGCTGACTGCATCCGCCACAGTGGCGCCGGTCCCGCAGCCCAACCTTGAGGCAGAAGGACCTCACATGTCTGTGCGTCCTCTAGCAGCGCAAGCCTGAATGAACCCCACATCTCTGCGCTGATTTCATGTAGCGCCCTTTCATCAGCTTTCATTGAAAAGGCCTTTCATCCCCAGGGACACCAAATATCTCTCCTCAAGGAGTTCGCATCGCTTTGCTCAGTTCATGGCCGATGATCAGTGTCTCTCACGGGCTCCCTTTGCAGCCCTGCTAGCTGCTACCCATCGATGGGACCAGCGGCCCACCTCTTGGCGGCAGCCATCGCCCTGGGCCTGCTACTCACCTCCCGAGCGGCTGGCAGCCAGGCAAGTCTTGCTGCGGTGAAGGCTGCACCGGCGCGCAAGTGGACTCCCCGCTGGCGGCGCCGGCCGAACGGCCGGCGTTGCGTGTTGCGCGGCGGTATACTTGGGCGGTACGTACCCAGCCAGCCCTTTGTCTCCTATGTCATCTCCACCTTGCGCGCCGTCCAATTGATGTGCAGGCGAAGGAGGCCGCCTTTGAGCGGAGCAGGGCAGCGCTGGCGGCGGCGGGCAACACGCGCCCAGGCGGCAGCGACGCGGGCGTGTCTGCGTCAGGCGCGAGCGACGCCACTACTCCGCTGTGCACCAACGCCTTGGCAGCCACCTTCTGCGCCAGCAAGCCCGCCACCGACCGCTTCTATGCCAACGTAGCCGCGGGGTGCACCTGCTTCTACCGCTGCACGGTGATAGTGGCTGCTTACAAGCAGCTAATTAGCCTCTCCCCAAAAACCACCATCTTCAGCCAATGCTGTTTCCCACCTGCTGTTGCCTGCCAGGCCAGCAACCTCACTGTCTCCCGTCGGTGTGTGCAGCCTGGTACGGACTATGCAGCTGCGTGTGTGGCGGGCGCAGTGTTCGACGAAAAGCTCCAAGCCTGCAGCTACTCCAACCAAGTGATCTGTGGAACGCCTCCACCTAGGCCGCCGCCACCAAAGCCGAAACCGCCACCACCAAAGCCGAAACCCCTTAGCTCTTGCCCAGTTTGCCCAGTTTGCCCAAGACCACCTCCGCGTCCAAGACCACTGCCGCCGCCTCGGCCAAGGCCCCCAAAGCCGCAGCCGCCCCGGCCACGGCCCCCCAGGCCTCGGCCCCCTTCACCGCCTGGCCCCCCCTTTCGCTTCACTGCTTACTACGAGGTGCGATACTGGCAGCATGCGGCAGGCTTCATCCGCTGCGCCTTGGACGCAGCGCTTGTAACCGCCACGCTGCCGGGATGATGGCTTGGCATGCACCGGCCGACTGAGCGCCTCTTGCCTGCCTGGCTGCCGGGCCCGCCTGCTGCAGACCTGGTCTGACCCGTGGGCGGGCACTGCCGGCGAGAGCGCCATCGCCTCCCTGCCCGCGTACGTCAACATCCTGTGCCTGTCCTTCATGCTGCCAGACACGACATATGCTGGAGGGGTGACCTTTGCGGGGACGGGGCTGAGCTTCAGGTGGGGACAAAGTCGCCAAGCACTTCGACAGACCTGACATGCTGGGTGGGGAGCAGCGAGGTGGGGAGGCAAGGCAGGGCAGGGTCCTGGCCTTGAGTGGCACTAGGGACATAACCCGGCAGGCAGGCAGGCACCGTCTATGCTCTCCGCTCTGCCTGCCTGCCCCGCAGCTCCGACGCGTCCGTTTTGAAGGGCGCCATTGCCGTGCTGAAGCAGCGACGCACGCAGACCACGGTGCTGATTTCGGTGGGGGGCGCTGGCTACACAAATTGGGACCAGGTGAGGGCTGAGATTGATCAGTGGGGTATCCGTGTACGCTGGGCAACTGAACAACTGCGCACGCATGCATGCATTCCTGACTTTGGGCATGCTTGCTGCGTTCCTCTGCAGTTGAACGTGTCTGCAATGTGTTACAGTCACCCCGCTATGATAGGCCGCGTGAGCAGACCTTGGGCAGGGGGCACACGTGATCAAGGGGCATCAAGAGAGGGGGTGGACCATGGACCATTCTCTCTCTCCCCGTTTGTGTATGGTGCCTTCACCTTTCCAGCTGCTGCACCACAGCTGGGCCCGTAGCATTCATTTGCTCCTTATGGGTGTAACAGACAGACAGACAGACAGACAGACAGACAGACAGACAGACAGACAGACAGACAGACAGACAGACAGACAGACAGAGCACCCTCTCCATGGCTCCGACCACCCTCCCCCCAGCTGAGCGTCCCAGGGTCACCCCACCCTGGCCCCGCTCCCCGTCCTGCTGGACAATCGTCACCTTTGTCAAGGCGTTTGAGCTGGACGGTGTGGACGTGGACTTTGAGGGCGCAGGAGGTGTGGCAGGGGTCTACAGGGCTCAGCATCAAGCCAGCACAGCATGCTCAGCATAGCATGGCAGCTCCACCTCCAGCCCT